CCTGCTGAATGGGCCCAAGGCAGACACAAAATACATTTTGGAAGGTCTGTCTTAAAACATGTCCCAGAACACATGAACAAGAAGGATTTCTTGCACAGATGGTGTTTAAATGTTCTATTCCTTAAGTTGTTTCAGAGATTGGCAGGGGAGTGAGAGGTGTATTATATAAACAGAGGCTGGTACTCCCTTTGTTTACCCTGCTACAGAAGCAGTAATTCCATGGACATCCAATGGATTGAATCCAGGAGAAGTTTGGGGCTAATCTCAGAAAGCTGTGAGTTCATGTACACAGGAAACTCACAGCCCTCCCTCCCATAAATGTTTTTTAAATGAAGGGTGTTACAGAGAGTCTTTAGAGGAGTACTTTGAACCTAATCACAACATTGTGAAGAAATTCACCTTTGAGGCATCTAGAAAAGCCTAATGAAACAACTCACTCAAAGCCCATCATGGTCAAGTAGTATGTGCACCAGTGGATGCAACTTCATTAACTTCTCTCAGGTTGAATGCCTCTCTCTGCCAGCCCTTGTTTACCTTCAGCCTCACAGGTTCACACAAGACTCAATCATTAGATCTCTATTTCTGCCTCCCTTTGCAGGTTAATCATACGACGTGACCACTTGCTGGAGGGCACCTTCAACCAGGTAATGGCCTATTCACGCAAGGAGCTCCAGCGGAACAAACTCTACGTCACGTTTGTTGGCGAGGAAGGGTAGGGAACCACTAAATGCTCTTGTGAAGTAGCTGTGTTATGTTGCAAAACACTTGCTGGGCTGTCTGAGGCTGAGCCTCTCTTGTTACGTAGTGTTTCTTTGGTTTTGTTTAAACTGTGAGGGATTCATCTTATATGAATATCAGGACATAATTAGATCAAACATTTGTTAAAAATAACAGTAGTAATAATACTTCATTATCCTCTAGCACCTTCCATCTGCATGTCTCAAAGTGACAATTTAAGTGGTTAAATCTAATGCCATCTTGTTGCCATAGGTATTTTGACTGGCTGGAAGGCAAAATTTAACTGCAGGCCCTTGTTTACACACTGAATCAGTCTTGGGGTTATCATTTGAGATCAAACCTTTACCCCCTTTGGATCTGGTTCTCAAAGCAAAAATTTTGGCTTTGCATGCCACCTAATCATCATTTGTTATCCATATCTGGATTTCTTCTTTCTGGCTGAAGTGAGAAACCTGAGTGCTGCTCAGTCTGTACAGTTTAATTCACCCAATTGGAAGCTGAAGGCAGTAGGCCTTTTCTCAGGAGACTTTCTGCCAGCCTTACAAATCCATGAGCCATTCTTGTATGATTAAAACCAGACCCTGACCTTTTGTTTCCAAATCTAAACAGAACCTTTCAAAGCCTCCCTGGCTCACCTCATGAGTTATGTTGTAATTGAGGCTTAATCCACATGACCATTGTGCATATTTCCAGTGTTCCATGTAATAAAGGCTTGAAACCATATTTCAGTAGCTTTGCATATTAAAAAAAAACAAAAACACATGGAGAGGAATTTACTCCCAAAGGTGTCAGAACAGTAAAGCTCTGGAGCAGCTCTTGGCATATTCAGCAAGTGCTGACACTATCAGCTCCTAGGTGGGACCTCAAGTGAAAAGCTTCTGCAGAACTGAGTTTGTCTGGGCATGTGTTAGGTCCAGCAGGAAACAGGAGTCTCCAACCTCAGAGTCATTCAGTGACCTCAGTATCAGGGCTTTTCTTAACTCCTATTTTTTATATTGCATGGATTCAGTATTATTTAACAGAGATCATCTTTCACAGCTGGTGTTGCCTCTGGCTTACAAGTAAAGCATAAATGTGCAGCATACCTCAGTGTGCATTTTTGGAATAGTGTTCTAGTGTGCTAACACTGGACAAAATCATGTTGTTTTCCCCACAGCTCTAATAACTTCTGCTGTGTGTGGCATGGTACCCTCAGGAGAAATTACAAACCAATTTGATTTGCAAATTAATTCATTCTTCACTGATTCATTTACATCTGAAGATACATGTCCCCAGGGTTTCTGCTGTTTAATGCTAATATAGGTTCTGCTGGAAGGACTCCAAGATACCAATTCCCCACTGAAAAGAAGAGTCGATGCTGTATGGCCACATGATGCTGTATGGGCACAGCTTCCCATGTGTCTCAAAGCTAAAATGACATTGAAAATTAACTATGAAGGCTTTATGATGAGTTAATGTGTTGCCCAGAAACGCAATATGTAGACTCTCCTTGGAGGTTTTTTAATATAGGCAGGTGTTGTTTGTAATTCTTGACTCCAGCCATCATCAGGCTTAGCCCAGTATGTTTATGTCCATTGAACCAGATCTGTTACAGGGTTAGCACTAGTGGTTCACGTGAGCTTATGAGCATCCCCTTTTGCTGTTGTGGCTTCAGTCTCACTGCATGCTCCTATAGCTAAGACTGCTCAAAGAGAAAAGTCCTCAATCTCCTAAAGTGTAGCAGAGGAGGATGGTTCAGCCTGCCCTTTATCATCTTTCTAGTTTCACAAAGAATCACTCAGCCCTTTGTGGTTGTGCTTCCATAACTTCAAACATAATACAGAGCATTCTGATCCAGCCGTAGTTTTCCACTTACCTTACATTTGTTAAGTAGAAGGAAGAATGCCTACCTCAGAAAATCTTCTGGCACATGTGACACATGGCTACAAAGCATTTGTTCATATTGCTACATGTAGATTTATATTGAAAATCCTATCTACTGTTATTAGAGAATGATCTGTTTTTAATAAAGCTACCACAGCTGGGTTTAATGCATTCATGTAGGTTTTGGGGGTTGTTGGTTTTTTTCATATTGACATAACTGGAAACAGCTTGATGTAAAAGTTGAGTTTAACAAAAAAAAAAAAAAAAAAAGGGAGAAAAGGGGACTCATCAAAATCATGCAATGGCAAACCACAGCTTAAGGTGTACAATAGGTATTTAAAGGGATTAGAAAAGTAGAAGAGCTTGGATGGAACAACTGAGGGATCACAATTCTATATTGAGACAGTTCTTCTGGGGCTTGCTCTTGTTCACTATCAACCTTTAAGTTATACCTATAGCTAAGAAAGCATCCTTGGGTCTAGATTCTATCTTTAGTTGCATCTCAGTATAGGAGAGTAAAAGCAATTTCTGCTTCAGTCTGGGCTGTCTGGTCTGTGAACCCAGGTGTTCACAGGCAAGTTCAAAGCTAGTCACTAAAAAGCCATCCCTCTGCTAGCCAGACAGCTAAGGCAGGGCTGAACTTGTTCCAAGGGAAAAGAAACTACTTGAGGGATGTGTCCAAGTTATGACTCCTTCCAGACTAATCTGGATGCTGGTAAAGTTTCAGTATCCTGTGACTTGTTCAGGGTTTAGAATCAAGTTTTGAGAGGGGAGATACACCATGTTAGGAACACTTGACTGCACAGGGCTGGTGTCAGCCAGTAGCCAATGTAAGCAAAACCTAGGAAATTTACTGAAATGGGAGGGAGCCTCATTTTCTAATTTTTACCTTTTTCTTTCCAGGTTGGACTACAGTGGCCCCTCCCGAGAATTCTTCTTCCTTCTGTCTCAGGAGCTCTTCAATCCCTATTATGGGCTGTTTGAGTATTCAGCCAATGACACTTACACTGTACAGATCAGTCCCATGTCTGCCTTTGTTGAAAATCACCTGGAATGGTAAGGATATTTTATGCAGAGTTGAACAATCCTTTTAGAACACTGCAGAAATGGAAACACAAAGCACAATACATGCTGGTTTAGGCTCAACTGCACACAAATGTTGCTTCTGCTAGGAAGAAGTGGGAAGTAGCTTGGGAGAAGGAAGTGAGGGAGTAAGTGTAAATACAACAGTAGGCTCTGAAAAAGGAGTGTGATGAGCTTCTTCTGTTAAAATGTCCTGCTCGCATTACCTGGGACTTGGTGTTTGTGTATTTCCATATGAATGGGGATGGGACAGGGAAAGGAGCTCTGCTTAATGCAGGCCTCCTCCTCTTCTGTGGTCTTTCTATACATCAAGCAGCATTGTGCTTGGAAGCTATACAGTGTTCTCTAAGTGCCACATTGATGCTCTGTACCCACTCCAGGCCTTAAAAAGGCCCAGTGAAAGCAGTTTCCTTCTTCTCCCCTGACAGAGTCTCCCTTGTGTGTGCCAAGGCCAGCAGAGCAAGCAGGTACTTCACCTTGCCAAGTATGTGTGCAAGGAGACAACTCGCTGATCTTGTTCCTTAATCAAAAATTCTGAATGTGTATTGTGATCTCCTCGTTTTTCTATCTGCCTCCAGATCTGTCTGTCTTTGGGAGCTGTTTCCCCTTTGATAGTTTCAGATGTGGTTCAGTGGAGAATGGACTGCCCACCCTGGGCGTTGTTTGATCCCATGTGGGATTTCATTGTGTCAAAGAAATACTGTCACATGGGTTTGTTCCTATGATGTTTTTCTTTGCTTAACCAATCTCACTGGCTCCTCTCAGGGATCCTTTTTTTAAAAAAATGGAAGGCAGTTCAGGCCCCCTTTCATTTGCAAATGGCACATGCCCTTCTATTCTTGTAAACATCTCCTCCTTTGCTTTGATTTACTATGGGCAGGAGGCTGAGGACAACTGACTGGTTATACCATCACATTTATTAAGGTCAAAATGGAAAAAAGTGATGTGGCTGGGACCTAGCATAGTCTCTGATTTTTTTGTATATCCTTTTGCATTATCACTTCCAGCAGTGGTGCATTATGCTAACAATGATCCTTGCATTAGACTGTTTCTCTGCTGACATTAGCAGGAAGAGAGTGGCTTAGTTCTTAGAGCTTGTCATTTTTTTAAAATGTATCCTGGGCATATAGAATAGCAGAAAGACACCTAATATAGCTGTTAGCATTCAACTCAGAAACCCCTTGCAGTTACTTGGGACAGTATTTCTCCAACCAAATGTATCTACACAGGCTCCTTGTACACAGAATGTCATTTGGGCTTTGGGCACCTTTGGTTTTCTATTTTTAAGGAAAGCAAAATGAAGTCCCCTGGCCTGCAGAAGAAAATAAATGCTCTGAACAAGAAGTTTTTTACATCAAGTAGTGTAAATAGGGCAAGATTGCTGAATGCAAGGGAAAGATAAGCAATCCAGTAAGTGCTTAGAAATACTTCTTGAACCTGTTATGGAAATAAGTGGCTGTGACCAGCAGTTTATAATTAGCCTGTTAGGTTTCATGATTGGCTTATAGATATCTAGACATTCTGAATGTTTTTATGCTGTCTCTGCTGACTGATCTCAGCTAATCATGTAACCCTAGAGCAGTGTATTCAGAAGTGTGTGCAGCCACCTAGGATAAGATTTGGACCAAGCTTTCTGAAACTCTAAAGTACTTTATAGGATAACTTCTCTGAGAGCACTGAACGTATCATTATTTGTTCAGGAGGAGCAAGGTTTTCTGAAGTTCTCAGTCTCTCATCTCATCAAAGTCAGTGCTAAAACTTCTGTTTCTCAGATTTACTTGATATGATTCCAACAGTGCCTCCTCCTTCTAACATGCAGGAAATAGAGATTATTTTCCTGTTCCCAAATCTGTCACAAGAAATCAGTTAACATAGACGGGTGAATCTGTGACCACGGGATGAGTCCCAGGGTCACAGATAATAAATATTCATAGTCTTTCCAAAGACTGAGATTGAGGTCAATCATGGAAACCACACAACCACAGTTGGTTTAGATTTGCAGATTTCTAGAACTTTTCCTTTTGGTCCTGTAGGGCTTATCATTTATGTGGAATCCAGTCTTGACATGTTTTTCTGTGTAGTAATCCTGCAAGACTTATCCAGACATGGCTATATTAAGAAACAGGGCTAGCAAAAATATTCCCTCAAAACTCCTTTACATTTTCTCTTCCTTAAGCTAACAGTGGTGAGTTTGGGGTAAATACAACAAAACACAAAGATGTGAAGTTTTGTTCATATTGACAGAATTGAGAAACACACTGCTCTTTCTTCCTCTGGCCCAAAAGTTACAGTTCTGCCCCTGTTAATGGCTTATTTCATGCCTTGCTCTTTGTACAAACAGCATTCTGAGTCCAAAATGAGCACATCAAAGCACAGAGGAGTTGTATGTATGCCAAGTTAAGACAGAGACATAATGACTGGAAAATATTTCTCATTTATGGAGAAACTGAGATTTAACACCTTTCCTGCAAGCTTCCATCGAATGAGACTTTTTCCTTCAGTTAACATATGTGCCTGCTGAGTGCACAAAATATAAGATATCACACATTTTCAAACTTAAAAAAAAATATTCTAAATCCCCCTATATCTGAAAAGACACAGTATCATCTCCCTAGACCTAAGAAGTTTGATGATACACATTTTTATCTGCATGCCAGAGGATGTACCTGAAGCTCATAGCCAAAAGAGCTGCTTTTAATCCGTGTCAGTAACAAGCCTTTCTACCTGGTCTAGGCAGGTCTTTGCTTGGATATTTGAAAATACCTTTTAAAATACTGTTTACACCCCTGCTTCAGGTAATGTGCTCTTCTCCAAGTAGGTGGGCAAAACGCAGTGGCCGCTCCTATATATTATTTGAGGGGAACAAATATGGTTTAGCTTAGAAAGAATATTCTTGTCTTTGCTCTTGGTCAGGTGTTTTGGCCAACTGAAATAGGCTGAGTCCCTGAAGAATCCTCCTCAGGTTTGGCTCAGTAGTGGGGAGACAGAGTAGTGGGGAATATTAAAAGTTTCTATCACAACCTCACGCAAAGTTAGAGGTGTAATATTTAGTACAGCTCCATAATACTGAGTGCTTACTTACTAGTAAATGGCTCCCAATAGTTTGACTCATTAGCTTCTCAGTTTCCTCCCTGCCAACAGTCCTTTGAATTATTTTAGCCTGACTTTCAGTTTCCTGCAGTATTGAAGTCCTGGGGTCCAGGATGCCCACTATCAGAGGCTGTACAGAGATACTTTTTCCCTGGGTTGCAAAATGTTTCTGTCTCTGATTTAAATACCTAAGATTTGACTAGTATTGTAGTTCTCCTTTTCACCTAAAATAAATTAAAAAGTGAAAAGTTGGATGGGTAAATCAACCCTGAGAGAAAAAAACCCTGACGCATAATAGGCAATGGAAATGTGTTTCTAAATTCTGGGAACAAAATATCTAGTTCCAGAGTTTGATAGTCTCAGATCCTCATGTGGGTCACTGGTTATTCTCCCTGTCTCCATCTGGCATCTGCTCACTGCATCCCATTCACTCTGTCAAATCATGCTGTGCTACATGCTGGTTTTCCTCAGGTCTTTTTTTATGTACCATTTTCCATACTCAACCCTATTCAGCTCTAGCAAAGCAAAATGATAAACTGGATATTGTTTCCAGTGATGATTTCTGTAGCACTTCCACCAAACTGGGAGATTATTATCTCTGTGCTGTTTCATTGTCCATGTGTCTACTAATTTGAGATATTTATGATTTGGCTGTCATTGTAGCATCACATAAGAAGTTGTGCTTCTTAGAATAGAGCAGTCCTCAGTGTTTTCTTAAGAACTTCCCCTCCCTGCTGTTACTACTTAATTTGATAGGGACAACAAGAGTTCCATTGCCTTTTCAGTTCACAAAACATGGCGTTCACAAACTGCTGTCAGGTGGAAATCCAATTTCTCTTTTTTCACATTTTCTGAGTGAGCCAGAATTTTCCTTCACAGCAGTCCTGCCCCCAGGAGCAGTCAAATAAGATAATAAAGTGCACCCTTGTTCAAGAGACAGCACTGTCCTCATGGCATGGTCATCTGCACTAGACTTTTTTGTCCCCAGATCACTCTCCTGGTCTTTTATCTGACTTGCCCCAGCAATTGATTTCACATCATCTGCTTTTTAAATGTTAGTTCATTCTATGTTTGTAAATGTAAAACCACAGCCAGAAATGTAAAAAGAAGCCCAGTTTCTGCACAGATGATTAGATGGCCCCAACAGATAAAATCATTCACAGAACAATCATTTGGAGATCTGTGGAAGGCAAGCTCAAACCATCTTTTTTCTGTGTTTTCAAAGCAAATGAATGGCAATGTTGGTTTTGTTTTGTTGTTTAACCATTAGGCATTTGTGGACCTTTCTGTGACATTTATGCAGCCAAAGAGCCGTGTCACAGTTATCTTAGAGGTAGTTACAGCTTGCTAATCAGACAGATTAGCAGAGGTAGTTACAGATTGCTAATCATACTTAGCATTCCGTACCCACCGGTTACAGCTTGCTAATCATACTTAGCATTCCGTACCCACCCCAGGAAAGTCCTGTTGTGGTTTGTTTGTTTTTCTTTAAATTAAACTTAATACTTTATTTAGCAGAAACTTACTAGAAAGTTAAAGACCTGTGAGTAAAATGTTTTTGTACAGAATCCTACTGAAGACCACAAAAAATTATTACATAGTCAGACCAGTGGCCCAGGTCCCCAGAAGCTGTAAACTGATTCCTGGCTGCAAGATCCTAATGAACTCCATTAGCTTAATGCTGATTTAGAACTGCTTTGGGGCAGGAATTTCTTCATTCAGTTCCCATAGTTAACCTTTCTTTCTGCCCTCCAATACTCCTTGTATTCTGGTCTGTGCTGCTAAACAGAGTCAGACAGAAAAGTTGCATGTGTCTCTACTTCCTATTCTGCAGGCAGACCCAAGCTTGTTGCGCCCACCCTCCATGCAAACACGAACTTGCT